AACGACACGGCGAGGTAGCAGCTGAAGGATCGCCGCTTCATTTATTATTTCATTCATCTACCGGTAGTATAAAGATCTGAGAACTGACCTCTGTCTCGGAGGTGCAGCCCTCAATGACATAATTTTGTATGTAAATTCAGCTCCTGGATGGTGCTCCTGGACGTTGATCAAGGGCTCTCTCAGATGCCCGCGATATGCCCTGACAAAAGAAAATATGATCAGTCTATATGTCGAAAAAACGTTTTACCGAAGCGGCTTGAAATAAAACGGAATACCACTATCTTGGAGGAACCGTAAACTCAAACTGAGGAAATATAAGACAGCCATTAGATTGTTTTATGAGGCAACTTTAGGCATCATTTATGTTCTTGTCTTGAAATGAGGCCTACAAACCACGAGAAGAATATGGTTCAACATCACCGGTGGAAAACTCAAATGCGAGTTGTTCTCTCCGCCGTTATTCTACATCATAACGGATTATACGTTGTGGAAGAGCGTTGTGTCATACCACAACAAACGACTGACTGTCAGTCAGTGAGACAGTTCGGATACCTGGCGGTACTTCAAGCGGCACTTGAGCACGTCGATACTGCTGAAATGCTGAACGATTTCGTAAACGTCCTACTGACACTCATCGTGAGGACGGACAGTGTAGCTTGCCTGAAGCATCAGCAGTCATAATAAAAGCTACGATCTGTCTGTCTCGGTATGCCTAGAAACGGTGGAATGAGATTCATAATCGTCATACTGTAAACATAATTATGTGGATCAGATCGAATTCTTTAAGCTGCTATTCTTCGTAGCCATCCCACGAACCATCAAGGTCATATATACTTTGTTCAGTTTTCTGTCAAGTAGATCACAACTGAAATATATTTTCATTCATACCAAAAGGAAACCATGCTCTTATGGGTTTGCTAGCAAATTGCAAGCTCTCAGTTCCACCGATAAAAATAACGTTCTCCACCCCACTATCTTCTACCACGAATCCTCTGGATTTATCGTCACATGTTTCTGTTCGACCCAACAAAGCGGTGCTGTATTGCCCCCCCCCCAATGCACTGCAGGTGCTAAAATACCATGGAGTCGGGGCATTGTTAAACGGTCCTCTAGGCCACTAGAAGCAAATGGACGGTGCTTCGCTGTTTAAATCCAGAGGATATTGACATAAGGATGATTTTGCCTCATATTATCAATGTTCTGAAGGCGAACTGAACGACGCTAACAACACCAGTTGTGGGAATAAAATAATTATGCGTGATTCAGCATTGTTTATAAATCTGCAGAATCCCAAATGGCGCATCTGTTTTCGAATAAACATTTACTGCAGTGTATTCAGTCGAGTTATCGACACTTTAGATGTCGGCGAATCACTTTCGAAGACCGATTCGCCTTTCAGGAAGCGCAGGAAGAAGGGTCTACAATGTCCCTAGCGTTCCAACGAATGCCCGGCATTTTAGCACATCCTGAGTATCGAGTAGACACCTTCCAGACTGTTGCATCAGGCAATTTTTGGGGCCCCGAAGTCTTACTTGGGCCAGTGGTAGTTGCCTTCCTTTCTCGATGTGCTAAAACCATCGCAGATGCGATTTCTCAGCTTGGAGAAGCAGCAGCTGTACACCAAAGATGCTTTCTGAGCGACTGGTTTCAGCCACTGCTACCCAGGATCGAGTTCTTTAGCCTTGGCCCAAGATTCATGACCGTAGGTGACCACAGGGAAGAAGAACGACTTGAACATACACAACCTAGTCTTCACGCTCAGCTTTGCCTTAGTCTCAACGGTTCGGTTTACTTCACCACGAAGAACGACGCTGGCCATTCCGAAATGCCAGCTGATCTCTTCCTCGCATTCCTCATCACCAGTAAACAATACTCCGAGGTAAGTGAATTTCGCCTGTTCCAGCGCTTCTGCGATTATCTGCGGAGCACAGCTCGCAGGGAAACGCGAAATCAGTAAGCTTCTTGTGTAAAACATGTTCACACGCATGACGACCCCGTCAAACCTGACCGTGACACTTTCCACAGAGCGCTGGAGATCGGTTTCGAAAGGTGCTACACGACCGCCACCTCCGCCTTCACATGTCCTACGTTGATGCACCAGTCCTCCTGGAGGCACCTGACAATTCTGCTCACACTCAACGAAACAAAAGGGGACAGGGCGTAGTTTTGTCAGACACCCCGTAGATCTGAAGGCACGCTCGTACGTCGTACAATCTTTCTCCACCATGCACACGTGAACCGGATGAGCAAGCTGCAATGATTTCTCAGTGTACCAAATGCCCTCACACAATCATAAAGCACTGGCTTGAAAATCATCGGCAGATGCAACCGAAAAACAGCTCTTGAAAGGTGTTCTATTTTTTTTGGTAATCCATAATTAACAGCAAAACGTCAAATGATATTACTTTAGCCGATTAGCCGATTTCGTTGGTGTTCAAACATGCCGTTGTGCAGTTCAGGCTTAGAGGTGCCGGTAGCACAGAGCCGTGACATGCTCAAAAAGTCCCCATAGCATAGCGGCATGTTTTCATTGTGAAAATACAGCATATTATATTGAAATATAATACTTAAGTAATTACCGAATATCGTATATGATTTCTTTATGCTGGAGGTGATATAATCTTTAGGTAAGTCACAACGCATAAAATAGTCTTTAATTAGGGACATCTGACGTTTCAGACCAAGCTCGGTCCGTCTTCAGAGTACTTAAGAAACTATATATTAAAGGAAGTTGTTCCTCTCATACAGAAAGAAAACATAAACTCGATGATCAGGGTGCACACCACAAGTGGAAATTCGACACCGCTGTCAGTAGTACATGATATTAAATTAATAATACCAAATAAGAAAACGTACAGTGTAAAGAAAAAAAATTCATTTCTTTCTTTACACTGATATTGCGGTGGTGTAAGACAGCTGAAAATCGTACTCTAGGAAATACCGTAATATTGCACCGTCCCCTTTCTTCTAGCAGACTTAAGAGGACCATTCAAGCAGGCCACAGCTCCATAGTATTTAGGTGCCTGCAGTGCATAGAATGCAGAGCAGCGTCTCCTAATTGGAACGAAAAAAAAGTGTTCAATCCCAAACGCCACGATCCGTAGACAGAGACATGCAAGAAAGAAAACATAGCCCCAATGTTTTGGGATAGAGCCCAGGAAATTCTCTATTCTCTTCGGTCTAAGTAATTTACTGATTCAAATTTGGTAATTAATTATTGGAGCATTCTCGCCTTGCAGAAAATATGGTATTTCATTTCCGGTTGATCAAGCCTTCCAAAAATGCAGAAGCCTGCATTGTGAGAAATTTGTTCCTCCGTGTTATCACAGAAAACTTTATACCTTAGAGTCAAAGCTGGAAGTTGATTCAGATTCGCAGAGTTTTTGCGAATGTCTTACAATATTTAAATCAAAAACTGAAGCCAACGACGGTTGGTTTGACGCTGATATTATATGATTTTTGAGACTAACAACTGCCAAAATAGAATCCCTTTATGAGATAATGTTGTTCAAGACTCGACAAATCCTTTACGAGATTACACCGCATATGAAATCTATTACGTACAAGCTCTCTAATGTTTCGGATCATGCTCAATCCGCCTTTCTAGAGTGACGTATTCCAGATAGGATTCTACAGTAAACGTCACTGCATTTAGGTACGAACTTCGCAATGGCAGGTTTTAGCCTTGATAGTGGAAATTGCTTCGTAACCTCGTATATATATATATATATAGTTTGTTTCCAAAGGCAATATTTGCATTTATGTGCAAAGCAGTCGCGTGGTCTTCTGCTTCCTTCCTACTAAATGATCCAGCTGCGACTCCGGCGATCTAACGACTGCGCAACTGCAGCACTTCAATACAAGAGCCACAGTTTGCCGATAATGAAACTATGACATTGAGTCTCACAGCCTCTCAGAAAAAAAGCCGAATGTAAAAATTAAGCACTTAAAAGTACGCATTTCTCTTACCGACATGAGTACCCGCATATTTGAAAAAACGATTACACTTCCCTCTATTGACCTACGTTCGACCTGCAGTGGTGCTCTAACTTAATCTTTCGTGCGAATACTATTGCAAATTATTTTGTTTTAAGAAAATGTAGAATTGAGTATTTAGTACTTAAACAACACGTTCAGTTATGGAGGATCGCCCAAGGATTTATCGATATATCGCATCAAATACGGAAACTTCGCACAGAGCTCGTTGTAAAAGTTTACATCTTTTGTAACCGCCTTCAGCAGCAGTGCCTCCGGAGGGGTGAGCGTTTGACAAGCTTTGTTGGCGAACTGGCAACAGGAATTGACCTGATTTTTCGGTCTTCGCTCAACGACCCTCGAAGACGAATCGGATGGATTGCATGACGCGAAGTCACGGTCGTCGAGATTTACGGCAGCTTCAGCGGATAGCTGAGCCAGGTCTGCCGCCGACATTTTCATGACCTTCAACGCACGCCAGCTGCAACCGTTGATTTCTGGCTGTTCCATGGGGATGAACCGGACCGAGTCGCCGACGTCGAACAGATCGCACAAATTACCGACGTCTGCCTGATCGGCCGCTACGCTGTTTGACAACGAAAAAAAAACAGATCCTAACTGCTCCGAGTAAATGTAGCCAAAATGGGGGGACACCTTCGATATGAGTCCGCATCGAAATCCCAGAGCTAAAACGAAAGGCAGGTTTCAGAAGGCCACAGTGAAAACATGAAAATCATGTAACAACAGTCGGAAGAAAACTGGCCCGTAGAGCATACAAAACGAATACGAATAGGAATGGCCGCGGCACTGTGACAACACACACACACATGCACGTTCGATTCACATTCTCACAGCGTCGAGGTAAACAGCTAATCATGATTAGTATGTAAAAATAGTGCGCGTAGCTATTACAACTAGATACTAAGTAAGAGTACTTTGTCGGACTCTGAAGTCGATGTGCTCAAAAATCAGAGACATGACCCCATCCTTATCCACCTAATACTTCAGCATCCAGATGTCCCTAGGATTACAGGCCAACAGAAACAGAGATACATTAGAAATTACGCAATTACTGACCAATGATGGATCAACATCCAAAAATGTCATCCTATTTCATCTGTTCGAAAGTTTCACGACATGATCTAGCCATTCAAGCATATTTCCGAATGCCCCTTGCCTAGCGTTTTCCGCATCTTCCCTTCCACTGTTAGAAGCACTTATAAATCATAATATTTTCCGAACATCATTTTCGACAAATACATGACAATGCTATATCAACAATTCATCTTTTCATGTCGAATGGCTTTGGAAGGGAGACAAGATCCACCTTTCTTTTTTAATCTGACGTTATCGCTTCTGACACCAGAAGTCTTCATTAAAGATTATACAGCAAAAAGATGAAGAAGTGGAGCAGTTCTACGAGCAAGAAGAAAGTGCAACAAAAAGACTTCAACACCATAGCATGAAAAGAAACATTTCATTAGCCGGTTTGAAAATGGAGGGGGCGAAACGGACGCAGCTACGGACTTGCGGCGTTTGCTGAAAATAACTGCCTTCACATAATGAAATTTATATTTGAAAAAGCCGTAAAGCAGCAGTAGACTGAAGCAGCCCTAATGGAACGACCCTTGAACATTCACCAAATGGATTATATGATGATGGATACAAGGCGGGTAATAAAGATGTTTTTATTTGAAGAAAACATCTTCTCTACGGGGTCTAACTAAAGATAACTTCGCTCGACAGTCACAAATGACGCCATCAAAAAAGATCAGGTTTGAAGGGCTCGAAAGACCACAAGTCACTGGGGAAATATTCATTCATGAACCTTTCGTAGACAAACTGCCTCGGCTGAATCTTACACTATTCTGCAGTAGAGGAACCGATGCAGACAACAAGCACCTCAACATTACCATCCAATCATCCAGTTGGGCAACACTGTCGATGAGGAAATAACGCACTAGCAATTTAAAGAGGCAAATGTAGACCAAAAAACCTGAATGAAAACTGATGGGCAACTAGCCGACGAGTATAGATTCCATAAGACTATGACAAGTACAAGAGAACGAGCAATAATAGACTGCATTAAAGAATAACAATACGAAGGTAACGGAAAAGTGCATTTTCCTGAAAAATGGATAAGCACCGTAGGAGGAACAAGAATCACAGATCGCTGTCACATGAAATCAATATACAAGAGGTTCTCAACGAATCGTACGTTCACAACCAGAGGATCTTCCTAAGCTAACCCGTTTTGTACTATTTTTCAGTATTATCACCAACAGACGAACCGAATACAAGAAAGATAGCATGTTTCGACACTCGTAATTTTGGGTAGATTCCAAAACATTTTTTAGTAACGGTCAGGCTTTCTGGCGTAAAGTAGATATATGATTTGAAGTTTCACACTAGTTTACATTCATCAAAATATGTTTTAGCTCTATTAGTGGAAGCAAAAAGAACAGAATGATTTGACTAGAGGCAGAAGATTCGGAAAATACCAAGAAGCATTCCGAGATGTTATATCTGATACTACGCTACACAGCAGCTAATTCCACAAAGTACGCGTAGGACGTTATGCCGTAACTGCGGTATAACCACGTAAATGTTAGGTGCTTAATGCAGGAAACGGTACTTTATAGCATATTAGATAGCATTAATAGCGCTCATATACTGTACCGTAAAATGTAAGAAATTTACGCATAACCAGAAATGTTATAATAACTATAATGTTATAACTATGTTGTAAACTGCACAACATAATTTGCACAATAGCATACAGAAAAACTCGTTTTATCCTTGTGACTTAACTTAGTATACCGTAGATATGTTATGCACGATTCTGATATGATTTACTTTATAATAAACGACATACTACATACTGTCAAATACCACCATAGGATCGTCCGTTATAACTGCGATACAGTTTAGAATCATCCTGTACAGTTCTTTTACGCATGATAGTTAGCATAGGTAACATATCGTGCCATTAACTATAGCCCAGTTTAATACATACGTAGATATGACATGCAGGCCATGTAGGATGACATTTGTTTTTGATATTCTACATAATATCTTAAGTGCCATATGTTATAAACGTAGCACAGTTTAGTATATTACACAGAGTTTTATTTGTGCTACCAAAATGTTGACTTGACTATTTTTCTGTAAAGCATCACACCGTGGGATAAAGCGCAACTAAACTGAGCATACTATGGAATGATTATTCGCTGATCTGACATGTTAGCTACATGATATTAAGCAAAGCATACAATGTTAGACAGCATATACAGTATCCTGTACTATAACTATAATATAAATCAATGTACTATTAAAACATCAAACAGCTTATGTAGCGTGTTATACTTCATAACATACGGTATAGCATGTCATAGTACAAAATATGCATTACATACTGCAGGATAAAGCATAGCGCAGATTTGTACACTATGCGTAGATATGTACTATAGGCAAAATTTTGTACTTTGCAGATTACGGCAGTATATCCCACTAAACTGCACGCTAACGTTCGTCCTGTTACCATATCTGTAGCAAATCGTAGTATACTCTACAGATACTTTATAAATGTTATCTATCTCAATGTCTCTTATCGTATATTATATAGCGCATCTTTCTAGAACGCATGTGTTCAAAGTACAAAGTAAAAGTTGCTGGTTTGTGAGAAATAGATTTGTCGTTCTCTACACTGTGCCTTTTCGCCGTTTCAATCGGGAATCATTATTTTTAACGGGGTTTATTCAGCGGCGGTATTGAAATTTCTTCCAGAACTTCGGGGTTATATTTTGTAACAAATAACAAAAACATTTAACATTTTATTCAGAGATATTAAATGCTTTAACTCATATGTAATGATTAACAATAGATAAAGAGTATATCCTACTAGACGACAAGTAAAATTATATCATAACTCTATTATAGCTGCAAAATAATTCATATCACTAGAGACATATCGTGTAGGCTATCTACCATGTAATACTTTATTGTACATCTTATAGCATGTCTTGCTGCAAAATATGTATAACCTATGTATGACAAACAATGGCACAGTCTCGTATACTGCGCATTGTTTATCAATCTGGTATTTTTAAAATGCAGAGTAAACTGCTTATCCGCTACACTACTGCCCCTCCCAAACAACAGGCCATGATCTAATACAAAAAACAACCAGTAGACTTGACCTGAAGTGAATTCCAAGTGCGAAGCTAAATTTAAAGAACCGTGGGGCATAGAACACGTATTAATTTAGCCTATGCAGCATATTCACAGAAGACACAAGGTAGCCTACTTTTGTCCACATAAGCCGATCTGGCTGCTGACATCTTGCGGACGGAGGTGGCCAGGTATGAGCAGTTGTTGCTCTGTAGCTGACGGTAGGCGTCGAAGGCGACCATGTCATTTGGCATGAACTGCTCCGTTAAGCCGATGCCCCCGGTCGAGGTAAGGACCACCGACAATGACGACGAGCACGACTGCGTCTCGGAGCTTGGCTTATGGGCAGCTGCGGCGAAGCGGGCTCCGATCGGGTAAAATACTTCGCCAAGGCGCTCGCTCCAAATAAACACGCATTTGTCGCTCACCTCCACGACGATGCCATTCTCGTTATGCACCGCCTTGGGCAACGGCGACTGTTGGTCGAATTTGCACGCCGATAGACTACTTTCACTCTTCTTCTGAATGACCACTGCCAGCCAACGGCAGTCC